TTTTTTTTTTTTAAATACGGAACCCTTCACAAATTTGCGTTTCATCCTTGTGCAGGGGCCATGCTAATCCTCTCCATATCATTCCAATTTTAGTATATGTGCTGCCAAGCGAGCACTCAATTTCCATTTTAATATCCTTAGTGTATATGTGTCTTTTACTTTAGGTTACCTCTAACTCTTTTTGAAGATGTTCCATATGTCCAAGAATAAATTTTAACATTCTCCAATCTCAGCCTCATTCCAAAAAGTGACTTAAGTTCTGCCAAATGGGAAAAAATTAGCAAATACTCCAGCAAAGGGCATTTTTTTTTTTAATATCACACTTCATTTCATATCATTATATAAGATCCCACAAAGAGAAGGAAAAATGTTACCTGAGGAATTCTTGTTTGGGACTATATGTCAGATTTCAAACACTTCTTGTTTAACAGCCTTTGGAATTTTCCTTCTTCTCTGTTCTCCACAGAACAAGTGGGAAGTAATAATGTAACTATTAAACCCTGTTTACTGGCCAAGTGAGGGAGGGAGGGAGAGAGACAGAGGGTGAGAAAGAGAGAGACAGAGGGAGAAAGAGAAAAAGAAAGAAAGAAAGAAAGAAAGAAAAGAAAGAAAGAAAGAAAGAAAGAAAGAAAGAAAGAAAGAAAGAAAGAAAGGGAAAATTTCACCACTCCCCACTGCTAAGAGCTTGCTTGCAATGGGAAATGGGGTGGGATTGTTGGGGGTGGGGTTAGGGCAGTACCCAAACTAGACTACCAAACTTTAGCAACACAATTCTCACGATTTAATTAGAGAAGGCCCCTTTGCTTACCCACAGTTTCACAAACTTACCCCACAGCTACCATGTTAACTATGAAAGAGTTGATTTTCGCCAGTGTCAAGAAACCCAGTTTAGGAGCATACCCAGAGGTTCCTATTTGCAAGTATAAAACCATCCTCAACTTTGAAACAATATTTTTCCAAACAACAAAGAAATGAAGATTTAAAAGCAGAAACAAAAAGGTGATGAAATTTTCTTCAGGAATCAAAGCTAAGAAAATGAAAAATTGGGGGGCACTTGGGTGGCTCAGGCAGTTAAGCATCCTACTTCTTGATTTGGGTTCAGGTCATGATCTCATGGTTTGTAAAATCTAGCCCCAGGTCAGAATTCTCTTTCTTCCTCTCTCTGTGCTCCTCCCCAGCTCTCATTTTCTCCCTCTGTCAAAAATAAATAAATAAACTTTTTTTTTTTTTTTTTTTTTTTTTAAATAAAAGGAGGGCTCCCTGGGTGGCTCAGTCAGTTAGGCGTCCAACTACGACTCAAGTCATGTCCTGCAGTTCATGAGTTCAAGCCCCATATGGGGCTCTGTGCTGACAGCTCAGAATCTGAAGCCCGCTTTGGATTCTATGTCTCCCTCTCTCTCTGCCCCTCCCTCCTTGCACTCTCTCTCTCTCTCTCTCTCTCTCTCAAAAATAAACATCAAAAAAAAAATTAAAATAAATAAATAAAAGGATGTAGCAGGATTCTTGCACAGAGTTGTGACACCGAGGCTTTTCTTTCCAGGAAGCAACTTTATTCCTGCCGGCACCACTCAATCGGGTTCATACCTGAAGAACTGGGCCCC